ACCCCGCACGCTTGCAAATACTTCCCCAATTAATCACTTTAAATATCAGTGTGGGCGGTGGCGGTGCACCTCGCACACTTTTGGCTGGCGTTGGTAGTTTTACTGCACCGCACGCACACTTTCCGGCAGGCTGCCCACACTCGCGGATGGGGGCGCTAACGATTCTGCCGATCAGACGGCAAGGTCAACACGATCGTCACTGCGAGGGTGCTACGGGACTGGGGGGTTGGCGGCGGGCAAATATGGCCCGAGTGTGCGGAAAGGGGGTGGGGAGAATTGAAGCAGAGCGGGGCATCGGTATTCGTTGGCTCTATTTTGCATGCACAGTGAAATGCCAAAGGGTCGATGTGGGTGTGCTGGCCCCGCGGCTGAGGCTGGTCCGTGCCCGTTCCAGTAGTCCTACTCCAACATCGAACTAAGGACACTCTCTGCTGCGCAGTAGAAACGACGTGTGTTGTAAGTTGTTTGCGACTCACCTGTCCCGCTCCATGGACTCGTTGTGCAGCCAGGGCAGGAAGTCTGCCTCCTCCTTCGGCACGTCCTCGATGGGGATCCTCTTGACGTGGACGTGGACGTTGGAGCACTGGCCACGGATCACGTCTGCGTGGACGGACGGAAACAGACCATCAACTAGAGGGAACGCTCGCCCGAAAAAGACACTTCTAAAATCAAGTCTACAGGGGGTTGGGCTTGGAACAAGTCCCTTTACTTGGGGCTTGAGTACATCATCTGTTAGTAGTAACATGGTGACCTCTCACGTACAGACTTACTCGTGCGCAGTATGGGATCGTCCAGAAAGTACGTCAGTTTTTTCTAAGATTCACTCGGAAAAAAGTGGAGCTCGGCGCCTGCGAGACTCGGGGTAGGCCACCCCGCATCACACGCATGCACTGCAGGCAACACGTTGCCTACCAATCAGGCGCTATGTGAGCTTGCATGGGCTAAACTTGGCAGGTTTGTAACGGCGAATGACATGCGTACTTTCTTTCTGATTCCCTTGGCATGTAGTCAGACTTTCTTTTGCGTGATATGGCAAGTACATGCTAGTACCGTATGTCAGGGCCCCGACACAACAGTATGCCACGTTGCCTACTCGCTCTACCCTTAAGGCGCCATGGCCCCTTGGGTTGGGTATGCAAACCCGCAACACTATTGTGTCGTAGCCCTGTCACATTGATTGGATCGAGGGGAAAACGACTTGGGTAATCCACTCGACTCGGCCTTTTTCAACCGTAAACCGTGGGTAGTCTGGAGGAGCGAAGTGATTCGCGGATAGCCCGGTCGTAATCCAAATGAAATCCGGAGGTCATCCACGTTAATCAAGGAGTACTTCAGAGGTAATCCGAGTAAACCCGGGTAATCCGTTATACACACGACGAGATTTCAGAGTTGTTTCCCCCTCGTTTTGGGTATTATGTAATGTACTGTTGGGTTTGATGTGAAAGGTTACGATTCCACCAAACCTTTCTAGTTAGTTTAGCCTCGTGTAGTGCGGGAGCAGCAGCACACCAATGCACCAATGGCAGTTTCTCCGCTGACCCCCAGCTGTGTCCGGTAGAACTCCCAATACTTTTTACGCGAATTGCCCTCGTGAGTGCAGGTGCAGTGTTTCAAAAATCGCTGGGAAGAGGCAGTAGAAAACTAAGTCTTTTGAGAATTACTAAATGCGCCTGTAAAGTGAATCTTTGTGAGATCCCATGATCTCCCGCTGCCCCCACCCATCCGCGCTCCTCTGTGCCCCGCCGTCGCTTACCTGCCGCACTCGGTGGCTTGGCGCGCTGGCCCCGGGGTTCGGCCTGCTCGTACACCAACGTCACGCTGTACACGGCGCTGAGGTGGGTCCGCATGTTGTCCAGCAGCAGCCACGACCCCTTCGGCCGCGGAGTCAGTTGCTGCACAAACCAGCAAACGAACAACTTAGCATCATGCGCGGCGCGGCCATGGCATAAACAGGCCAGCAGGTGTAATTAAGCCACGCGCGCGAGAAATTACGCAGATTAGGTGCTGACATGATAGGACATATTGTGATTAGGAAAACCATAAGAATGTTAATAAATTGGTCGACCAGGTATGTCCTTGTATAAAAAAGGTACAAATGCAGACGACGTGCTTGTGCGCATGACTTGGCACACTTCACAGGTCCGCGTGAGGTGGAACTGGAGGGAAGCGCTCCAGATTATCTCGAGATCATCTAAAGAGGTGAACAGGACACTCGCTGCACAGGCCGGGACCGCTGGGGACTCACGTGTCTCAGCGGCGGCAGGTTGGATGTCTTGGCCATCTCCTCGGAATAGCTGATGGCCTTTCTGTCCTCAGGGTTGAACCGGGTGCCCTCAGGAAAGATGCCGACCCAAATCTGTAATGATAGGTGATACACGCAACCAGTCAGAGGGCTATGACAGCTTTTCGTAGGCTGTAGTAAAGTGTAACGGGAACGGGGTAAAACTCACAGGCGTCTGCGTCTTTTTGTATTCATTCACTTGCTCGATGAGCCGATCCGGCCTGAAGCCTCTCCTACGTACGTATATGTGACCGATAACACTGATGTAGTATCCCACCATAGGCACCCAGTGCAGCTCCTGCTTCATGATGAACTTGATCCTATCGAGGCACTTGGCCTTCAAGGCCAGGATGCAAGCCACCAGCCAATCCACTGAAAATTGATAAGACGAAAACAACTGTTTAACATATTGATAATGAGATTCTTCGGATAGAAATGGCAGATAGCAAACAACTTAATTAGTGGCCAGGTCGAGCGTCGGGCATAACCTTTGGAAGTACAACAACTATCGTGACACCGATGACGACTCGCTCGCTTTCACCGCCAACTTCAATTTTTCATTCGATTTCCATGTTTTTGTTACTCACATGAGGACTGGTGGTTGGACATGTACAGAACGTTCTCGTCCCTCAGCATGACCTCTCTGGCGTCTCCGTAGAGGTGAACCTGTAATTTATCCGTAATTAAAACATGGTGTCGCACAAATTCCACTGGAATGTTTTGTTTATGTTACACATTCTATACACTGGAAAAACAAAGGTAGGCATCGACACTCTTCTTGGGGTGCTAATGACTTTCGTGCATTCAAATTTGAAGAGTCAAAAGATTCGCTGCCCTGGAAAGGCTCTAAAATGCCCCACAGGTGCTAAATTTTAGTGCCTTTGAACACTTTTCGTGCCTTTCGAAAGGCATTAAAATTTAGCACCTTTAAAAGGCACTTAGCTAAATCCTACCTTTGTTTTTCTAGTGTATCTACTGTAAAAAAAATGTTCTCGTCAATTTACGACACTTTTGTAGTTAATTTTGTTAGCATCGTAGCTTTGTCCAAGTCGTTCATTGACGACAAAGGTTACAGTAACGACATAACTGCTGTTGTGTGATGAGATTCTTCTCATGATACGACAGATTTGTCGTCAAAGAACGACATTGACTGTTAACAAGCGACGCTACGCTGCAAACAAAATTAACTACAAAAGTGTTGTAAATTTACGCAAATTCTTTTAAAACCGTGCTTTATCGTGATTTAACGAAAAAGGTCCGGCTAATTTTCCTACACAGGCTCTTATTATACCCCCCCCCCCTCTCACTATCACCTTTCTTTACGTCCCCGTGCTAACCAGCATAGAGTTTAGATGATACCCTACCTTTAGACCCGGCGCCCGCACGAAGAAGAAGATGGCGAGTCTCAGGAAGTACGTGTAGATCTTTGCTTTGATGGTGGCAATGTTGAGCTTGGGGAAGAAGCGCGCCAGGGTACTGGCCGCGTGCCACACGAAACAGAGGAAGGGGCAGGTGGCCATGAGCAGGAGCACTACAACGCTGAGCAGCGCCCCTCCGAGCTGTGGCCTGCGCACACCATCGCCGAAAGGTAAGAAGGAAGCTATGGTAAATTATGTCTCATGGTCAGAGCAAATCCAGGGCAAAAGAGAGAGAAAGAGAGAGAGAGCGGTATTATAAAGGTGTCTTAGATGGGCGACAGCGCCAAAGTGCCTGTGCGCCCAACAGTGTGCATGTCATGCTCGCGGTTGGGAATGAAGCGTGCTATTTTTGGGCTCACAAATAACTCGTTTAATCAATGTGCATAACATGTGCACTGTTAGATTTTCAATCTTGTTCCTTGGGTGCGCAACAAAAAATAAATACAATAAAA